GGGGACAGAAAACGGTACCATCTTCGATGAGAGTGTGCACATTCCCTGGTAGCTGAGAAACCAGAAACTACAAGGGACCGCATACGATAAACGCTTCCAACGTAGGATCTACAAGAAATCTGATCAGCCAAAAAAAATCTATAAAGACAAACAATAGACTACAAGGCTAATACTACGTCAAAGACTTTCGAGATACCAAAATGACAAGAACCGATAGAGCAGGATCGCAACGTGGACAGCTGTTTCGTCCTTCTTGGGACTCGTCAGCACTGTGTAGCGAAGATATGTAACGCCAGCCCAAGACCCAACGCACATAAATTGCAAAATGACCCGTTCCAGGAGCCCATCACTGTATCAAGTTCCGTACTTTGAACTCACTTGCGCCCCGAACTGCGCGTTGCCGTATCACGTGTTTCAGGGCGCAAGGAGACAAAGTGTCACGATTGTTGTCTCGAAAAGCAAAAAATTAAATGTGGCTGGACAAGGCCAGCCTAAACTGTTATCTGAGCCCGCGAGATTGTCGCGCCATGTATTTTTCTTATGCGCTAGACTGGATCCAATATACCGTGACGAAATCGTTTTCAAAATCCTCCGTTTTCAACTGTCCACACGAGTACAGCAAAACTGCGTTTTTAAAAATCACCACTGTGGAGAGCGTTTTTGAAAAGATGCGTTTTGGTGACTGTTTTCGCCGGATACGTGTGGGCGGAAAGCCAAATCGGAGAAAAAAGTCTCCGTTTTCAAACAAAAACGGGTACGTGTGGACGGGTTCTTAGGCCGGGGCTCACCTAAAACGCTGAGGTAACTCCTTGAAAGAAGTTTTCCTTGGAAGTCGGTCGCGTGAAAAGATTCTCGCCGAATCGATTGCGCCGTCTTTCACTTTAGGGATATGACGTATGGGTGTATTAGGGCGGCTAAAGTAGTTGCATTCATGCCCGCTAAAGTTCGTATTAAAAATAGTGCAATACAACGCTTACCGTGGGAGCTGAAGACCTTCGGTCATCTTTTTCTAGGAAGACCAAACGGGCCTCGGCTCACATGGTCTACAACAATGTGTACAGATGGGCCACTGACCTCCTCAGTTTGAATCAAATCCGCCCCCAACCTGAACACGATTTGAGTTTACCATGATATCAAGAAGAGCGGTTCAAATTCCCTAGCAATAGGTACTGTTATAGATTCAAAACGATGAAGGCCAAAGTAAAGGCGTTTAACACGGGAATGAAATTCAAGGTTTCTGACAGGAGTATCCCGATGTACATGACGAACGAACATTCCGGGTCGAATGTAAATAACGTTGTGTTGCTTGGAAACCAGAGGACCGGACGATAGAGAGCCGTTAATTGGTGCAAAAGTAATAATTTTTGCCGCAGGTATACAACTTGTATATAAAGGTGTAGCAGTTGGGCGTTCGTGTGGACGATCGACAGTTTGAAGGAACGGCCAGGTACATCAGGCAATTTTTTTTTTTTTTTACCAGAGGCATTTATAAGCTTTTTAAAGGGTTCAACAGCAGTTATAGTTTAATGGCAGAAATTAGAGTTTAGGCGCTCAGATCAAGTGGTGAATATATGGTGGCTATAATCCGAATATAAACATGGCTTCCATTCCTCATTTAATTTCAAACCACAGAATCTGTCAGGAAGTGGTTTCGCTACAATGCAAACCAACAGTTCTCATGTTGCTCGGGTGTAGTTTGTCAGCCAAGACAGCCTGAAATGCTGAAAGGAAGAAGCCATGGAACAATTGGCCATTGGTGAGAAATGTCACACGTTTAACATCGAGAATCGAGTCAAATGTTCAGTCACCTATAGGCTATCTGAACGAACAGTAATTAAGAAGGGACTGTGTCCTCTGCGTTTCTAGAAGTATTTAGGAAACAGTTAGAGGTCTTCACACAAATGACATGATGGATTGCTAACATTATTAAACTTTAATTTCCTTCGCTCTAAAATGTGCACTTTATTTTCCTCTATATAACTTTGTGATGAAATATTTAAAATAGCCCAACATACCGAAAGCTTTAATACTGACTAATAACCCTAAATTCTGGAAAGAACATTTTCGTTTTAACGGGTAGTAAAAGCTTTGGAGGACAAGAAGTTGACTTTTGTTTCTTGTGGTGACACTATTACAGTTGCAGTCAGTGGAGGATCTAGGCCCACCCCCCCNCAGTTAACAATGACAGAGAGGTGTTTTCGTGGGGTAAGGGGGCACGCCGCCGACTTGGTCATCCTTAAGATGAGGATTGTTACACACCCAAACGTGTGCCATCAGCGCTCAAAGTCAAGGTGCTTTCCTTGTCCTGTAGCCATAATGTAACAATGGTGCGTGGAAAGGTGCTCTGAAAGGAAAAAAGAAACAGCTCCTGGCCTTCTCATTGGCTAGTTTAGTACATATTCATCTATTACTTTCAATTTGTCGACTGCTCAATACTAACTTTACAAGAAAATTGGAAACTCCATTTCCATCGCACGGTTACGAGCGTTAATGTAGATTTTTTTTTATGTATGGTACAGTTTCTTATACCATGCCGTAGAAAATACAGCCAATCAGAATGCAAGAAAGCCGTTGCATATTCGTCGTTCTTAAATTTTCAGCCTCGGATATTGCGTTTCTAGTGTCCTGATTGGCTAACTAAATCACAGTTATCAGCTCATATACTGCAGTTTGACCTCATATGGAAATGATCGCGCGCGCAAGTGCCTGATAAATTTTTAGGTAAAATTCAGCTACAATTTCGAAACGTTCACAATTTGATAAAATTTAATAAAACAGTTATTCCATTCACGCTTGTTTGATATGCGATTGGTTATAGCCAACTCGGCACCACGCGCCTCGTTGGCTATTTACCATCTCATATCCAACGCGCGCTCGTGGAATAATTGGTATTCCATCTAACCTTCCCATCGTGCAACGCATTGATTGTGTGGGGCTATGTATTTTCTATGGCATGGTTATGCAAAGGTTTTTCGTCACTTGTATTTTCTTGGTATGCACACTCGCCTAAAGGCTTGTGTGTACGAAGAACATACGAGTGACTTGTGGGATATTCTACGGTATACCACTCGAAAGCATTGCGTAACTAGTATATATCATCTGAACACCACGATATACGACAGCCCACTGTACGAAAACGGAATTATAAAGTGCACTGTAATAGGAAAAAAGGTTGTTTTAGTTGAAGGGGAACGATTTTGAATGACGCCGTCTTACGTAAAATTCTTTGGGGTCTTTTCACGTGCTGCGTGGTTTTTCAAGTTCATCGGAAGGTACTCCTCGTCGAAGGTTGCAAAGAACCAGGAAACAAAAAACATTGCGGCCGGGAGCTTGTTTGGTCAAGATGGCCTAATAATGGTCTTGATCTTTCTTTCTTTTTTGCATGTTTATGGGTCCTACCAGCAAAAAGCAAGTAACCATGATGCTGAAGGTAGATGTCACAGTGAGTAGAAATAAAGATGATCAGCAAGAATAATATCAAACAAACTCAACTTGTTTTATTTACAATATAGGCCCTAAAATATGTGCTTAGTCAGATGTCCATACTTCAAAATAAGTTAATATTTCATTTCTCATGTTAGTAATAATATTAGCACCTATTAGCAGTATTTTATATGCAGGATGTTAAAATTTATATCTAATATATTTTTTCCATTAATGCTCTGAAGCCTATATAGACGAAAATTTATATTAACATACTTAGTAAAGTTTTCACTCGTATTTCATCAATATATCATGTCACAATGTTTCATTCATAAAGTTCCGCAACATAAAAAATTTCCAAAAGAAAGGATCTGGGGTGCTTACCATATTTGGTGAAATATACCATTTTATATTCATTTTTTTTGTTTTTTGGAAAATTTTCCGAAAATCCTTTTAGAAAGGAGGGTAAGGCATAATTTTGTAAATTTGTGTACTTAATTATTACAAGTTTCTTCATACGTTACTGGTACGCAATTCTCGTCCTTAACAAAGACTGGCGCCAATAACAGATCTGCATGTTGTCGTCATTTGACTACAACTACCAGAATCCTTCCCTTTTTCTGTTTCTTATGTTAATTAGGGCAATTGTTATTTAAACCCCACTGGGAATTCAAAATTTAAATAACAGAGAAAAAATGAAAGGAATTCTGGTAATCACCTATAAATATAACAAATATCCATAGGTCTGCAATACATGCACAGAGATTTGTTTCATTGTAAGTGTTAAGAACATGTCTTGTCTCTCATTTCATTGGACAGCTTGTGTTTTTTGCCGCCATTTTGGGAAGGACCCCTAACCTCTGAATTGGAAAATTTATTCATTTTAAATGATGTAAACAGCACACCCACAGGAATTTCACACCTGTGTGCGTCAAGTTGACACAACCCTTTCTAAGAAATATCAGCAAAGGACATAGGTCTCCTTGTTTTTCTTGGAAGGGTGCACATGAAATAATAATCAGATCAAGAAAGAAAAATAATATTGGATGGAGGATTATTGACAATGAATTGAAATATTACCCAGCACCTTTGTTGGTCTAGTTAATCAATCAACACCATTCAAACTTACTAGAGTGGCCCATTTTCATCCTCCATACATGTACATTAAAAGGCACATCATGCTACTTCAGAAAAACCCATACCCACCCAGAGAGGTTATGGTTTAACCCCTTCTCCCACCCCTCTAGTAATTCCAGTTTAACTTCATACTTTGCTTTCAAATGTTTGGCCTTCGAGATTCCCACCACCACCCCCACCCCCTCTCCCCAATCCACTGGAATTCCCAGTGATCCTCTGTAGGGTCAGGTTGAATATTTTTTGGACACACTCGTTACAAGAAAAAGAAACCCCAAGGATGGTCACTGCGAATTTTGAGGGAGAGTACGGCAAATCAAAAGCCACCCTTTTTACAAGAAAATGTGAAACTAAACTGGAATTTTCAGAGGGTGGAAGCTTGAAACCAAAAATCCTTTCATGGGAGGGGTATCAATATTTTCTGAAGCAGCACATTCACCAAAAATCCACTCTAGCTTAAACACTTCATCGCAAAGAAAATTCAAATTTCCCAAGCTAATGAATTATTTTCAAAGGCACATGTCTGGGTCAGCATTACTTGACAAGTTGGACAATGGACCCATGGGTGTTTTCTCCCATTAAAAATTAGGTTGAAAAGGACAGGATGAAAATAAGCTCCTGTTTGGTTATTCTTTCAAGTCACTTTCAATCTCGGAAATTCTATATGTACACTAAGTGTTGAATATGCAAAACCATTCATATGAAAATGAGTTCCACTTTTCATGCAGATCAAACTCATTTTCATAAACGTTTTGCACAAAGACTCTTTTTGAAACAGAGACACAAGGTAACTTGGAGAGGGTCTACTGGTTTACAGTATGTAAACATTATTATTTGCCATGAGTCACTTCATTATTCCACTCATGCCCACATTAACCCCTTTTAACAGAGTAATGTATTAGCACTCCTCACACCCAGACCTGACAAAGCTTACTTACTTCAGTTTCCCTTTACTTGAGAGAAGGCATATCTGCAGCTGAGAATTTTGTCGCGTACATGTATGTCCAATCAAGTGCAGACCTGCTGTGAGATCACCCACAGCTCTGCATGTTTAGCTGTCTGACTACAGTCTTATGCACAAATGCGCACAATCATATATTGATTTGCATTTACGGCACAGTCATGACCGCGCAATAAGTCTTTAAAACAAATTCTCAGCTGCCAGACTGACTGATGCTCTGCAATGTCAGCCTCTTTAAATTGATATTGCCTGATTGCTTTATGCGACACCAAAGGCATTTGTTTAGACTTCTTCATGTTCCTTGTCTTCTCTGTCCTTTTCTTTGAGCTGTTTCTGGTGATTCTTGGCTCTTTGGTAAAGAAAGACTCCACAAGTCACCATAACAGTTCCTACAGCACTGAGGGCAGTGACCTCATTACCAAACACCAATACAGACAGCCAAATTAGAAAGGCTCTCTTCACTGTGTTCGACACACTGAAACAGAAAGCAGCTTACTCCTTCAGACCACATCTCAAAATATAGAAATAATCATCTTTGCCTATGTCCTATATTTCTTTAATTTATGATAGTTGTGAGAATTTAACAGTACATCAAGACAATATTCCTAAGCCATCAGTAAAGGTTTTCTTTATTCTCACCACATCTGCTTGATGTTATATGGATTGTAAAGGAGAGAAAATAGATGTTAATCACTCAGTTAAGTGTTAGATCCAAAGCAAAAGAAAGTGTTCAGGTCAAAGCAGCCACAGACCTGATTTCTATCTGTACCTCAAAGTGACCTGGAATGTTGCTTCTCACTCTCGACATAATGATAGTCATTCACAGTAGCCGCCCCCTCCCAGCTCTCTAGCCAGTTTCCCAGTGTATTTTTATACTTCTAGGGGGAGATAGGCATACACCTCTGAGAATAGAGTGTTTTCACATGACGTCACCACAGCCATATTCATTTGGTGTTCCAAAACAATGTTACGACGGCAATGTTGGTGTGCCAAGCCAATCTTGTGGGAGTTGCAGTCTTTTCTTATGTAAACACTTTTCTTTGCTCTAGTATATTTGCATGGTTGCTGGCCACGGAGTGAAAACACCCTATAAAGCAACTTTGTCAAGTCAATGACTCCAAACAAAGCATCAAAACACTAACCTAAATGTAACTGGGGATATAAGAGACATCAATCCAAATGCTGTGAGGCTTTGCATGTAAAACATGAATCCATTCAATAGAAACATAAAAATCAAATATTTATTCTCTGTTAACTTGATTTCTCCAGGCCACTCCTGAAAGAAAGGAAGGTAAAAGAAAAACAGACACTCAGGTCTCAGTGCTGGCCTCAATTCTGCCAATTGAGTCACTCTACTTTGTTACACATTAGTTAATTGGATCTATCTCTTTTGTTGATGGTCAAATTAGGGGAACCTTTGAAATAGCTATATTGCAGAATGAGTCAGCAGTCAAACATCATTTTAATTTGTTTATAAAGGTGTACAAGTAATACAAAAGGGTCTTATAACTCGAAACAAAGCAGAATTGATTACTAAACCTTATTTGTGTGACAAGCTGACGAAAACTGCTGTAATAAGTAATGCTACTCTTCTTGACTGGAAGGTCATGCTTGACAAGATACTAAATAATCTAATAAACTATCACAACATGTATCATGCAAAACAGAGATTCCATTCTTGTTCCAGTCATACTTATCTTCAAGAAAAATTATACTTNAATATTTATTCTCTGTTAACTTGATTTCTCCAGGCCACTCCTGAAAGAAAGGAAGGTAAAAGAAAAACAGACACTCAGGTCTTAGTGCAGGCCTCAATTCTGTCAATTGAGTCACTCTACTTTGTTAAACATTAGTTAATTGCATCTATCTCTTTTATTGATGGTCAAATTAGGGAACCTTTGAAATAGCTATATTACAGAATGAGTCAGCAGTCAAACATTATTTTAATTTGTTTATAAAGGTGTACAAGTAATGCAAAAGAGTCTTATTATGTTATAAATTGAAACAAAGCAGAATTGATTCCTAAACCTTATTTGTATGACAAGCTGATGGAAACTGCTGCAATAAGTAATACTACTCTTCTTGTCTGGAAGGTCATGCTCGAGAAGATACTAAATAATCTAATAAACTAGCATGACATGTATCATGCAAAACAGAGATTCCATTCTTGTTCCAGTCATACTTATCTTCAAGAAAAATTATACTTACTAGAAAGAACCAGAAAGGAAGTTGAACAGCAATAGCAGCAACACTTGTATAAAACTGAAGTTCTGGTGGACTAGAAGGACAAAAGGATTTTTGATAACACTTTTGCTTGACTGCATTTTCTTGATTCTTTGTCAGTTATAATTTTTTCGTTATGTTTGGTTTCAAAGAAAATTGAATGCCAAAAACAGGGTCAGATGAAATTTGTTATCTTGGTAAATGATGACCCCATCCTAGCAAAAAAAGTAATGTTATTGGGTAAGGTCAGGGTGGTTTCCTGTTGCAAGAAGAAAGCAATCCCTCTTTCAACTTCACTTACTTCTGCTCATCCCTATCCCTGTTTGATCAAACTATGTAATGAAAAATAGAGTATGAACAATCCCTCATTCAGTCAATTCTGGGAGGTGGACAGTGCTCAGGTCACCATGGTCCACTTTAGCAAAGGAAGGTCTCAACTCTTACCTGTAAGGATGATCGCTGCTAAGAAGCTTCTTTGAAAAAACATTCTGAAAGCTGTGAAATAAGGGAAAAATTTGATTTCTTAATTCCAGTCTGTAAATTAAGGATCTTCAACTTCGTCATGAACATTCTTTATACAGTGCATCAGTAGTGCAGTCCAGTTTGTCAACTGTAATTAGCTTTTAAATGGGTAACTATTGTAGGTCCCTCTGGATACCAGGCTTGTGGTTAAGATTTTTTCTTTTTAGTTCCAAGTTCATGACAAAATGAATAACATTAATTTTTTATTAATAACTTTTAAAAAATAGCTCAAAGAAAATATGTGTGCTGATTAGCTAAAAACTGTATTTCTATTCAAAAATTACATTATGAACTCGAGATTTCTATTGCCTGATAGTTGATGAAGGCATAACCCGAGTCAACTATCACTCATAGGAATCGAGAACGAATAATCTATTATTGTTCAGCAAAGTATAAATCTCCTAGTTGTTCAAAACTTCTTCATAGACACTTCAAAAATGCAAAGAAGCGGTTACCGGTTTGTTAACAACTGCACAACGCTATGCTACTCACTATCTACTACAGAATAGATAGTAAGTAGTGTAGCCAATCAGAGAACGGGAGAGCACATTATTGTCATTTGTATCTTCACCATCTACGGGTCTATTACAAACTCACGACGTGACCAGCTCCCAGATGGCTTGATAGTTCAGCTGGTAGAGCACTGCACTGGTATCATAGAGGTCATGGGTTCGAATCCCATTCAGGCCTGAATATTTTTTCAGGCTTTAATTTCACAACTGCTTAAGTTGTGTACAACTGCAATGATCAGTCATGTCTTCATACCTTTCTCCGCAGTTCAAATATATGGTCTTCTATACATTCATTTGTATTACTGATTTGTTGATAACATTTCCTTGTTAATCATTGACAAATGTTATCATAACGATTTTTTAAAGAACACCTTCAAATAATATTGCCATGCCACTCTTGAATAAGAGCTGCAGCTGAAACACTAAAAGATTTATGGAATGCCACAATGTTCAATCAAGTAGAAATGTGCTGATTAAAAATTCTGAGTTATAATGTCTGAAGCAACTCACCAATCCATAACGTTATTCAAAAGAGCAGAAACAAATCCAACCATGTTAAAGCTGAGCTCAGTAGCGGTACAAAGTGAGAGGCCAGCCATAATGGGAATAAGAGAAAGGTTTACAAATAGACTTGAGTTGTCCCCTGTAACACAACATGACAAAATTTGTGAGCAAGGTCATGGATATCACTGCCTTGAGTAGCTATCATACTCGTCTTAAACTTAAAATCTGAGTTCTCAGAATTTGGTAGTATTAAAAAGCAAATGTTTAATTATTATCTCAAGTAAGGGCAGTTGACATTTTCACAGGCAAGCTCTCAAAAGAAAATGTTGTCTTGAAGTGCCAACAGCAATTATTTCATGCCAGGTGAAAGCGTGGATCAAAATTCAGATACACATATTCAGTAAATGTGGCAAAAGATTGTCGGATAGTTTCCCAGGTAACAATCATTTCTGCCAACGCTAAGTACCAAAAGTGTAAATATGAGTGTCCACACTATGGATGTGTCATTATTATAGAGGTGCAGCTTTCTAAACAAGCGACTAAGTTTCTTTGGCACCAAGTGAACTGACTGTAAGGTTGAGTGAGGTGTCAGGAAGGATTGACTGTATTCTATACACCCCTACCCTTCACCCAATTTTTATCTTCAGTACAAAAAGAATTGTTCTAAGAACGTAAATTTTGATAGTCAGAGAAGTCCTTTAACAGGCACATGACGAAATGATGATATTGATAAAGTGAAAAAGGAATTCAATATGGAGCTGCTCATTTACAGGCAAAAACATTTTGCTTAGTTTTAAACAAATGGCAAATTCAACTTATCTCAATCTTTAAAGCCTGGCACGTTTTCACTGGATTTTGAAAACGCTTATTATTGATAAAAGGTTAATAGTCTGATATAAGTCAGTGAGATACTCACCTAGCATAAGCCAAGCAATTATTGCAGTGAAAATTGGTGCAGAAGACTTAATAGTTTCAGAGAAAGAAACAGCTACATACTTCAAAGTAATGAGGGAACACACTATTGTTGCAAACCTGGGAAAAGAAATAGAAGAAAAAAAACTTTGAAATTCGAAATTACATCAAAATTGCTATGGAGATCTGATGTAACTGAATAAGAAATCAGCCAAGTTCATTGAGCGTTCCCTTTTAAAACTGAAAAAGTTATTCCATGCAATTACTGTCAGTGGTGGTTGGACCCTCCCTCGCAGCCGTTACTAGAGTCGTCACACATCGCATCTCCCCCACTAACTGAAGATTTTGTTATTCTTGTGGGAAGCCAACAAACAAATCAAGCACCTAGAGCAACTTTCTACTATTTTTTTTGGAGTTAGATCCATAGGATATCTCTGAGATGTCTGGCAAAATCTCGTAAAGGAGGTGGTGAATTTACATGGGAAACTGATGTCATTGACAAACTACTGATACATGATTGGTTTCAACACGAGCAATAGGCATCGCATGATTGGTGCATTCTGTAGTCATCACCTGAACTCTAAACAAAGGAAAACAAGTGCGGTTCAGATTTAAGCAGCCGTTAGTGGGGGAGATGCATTATGTGATGACCCTAATAACGGCTGCAAAGGAGACTAGGTTGGACCAGGTCTAACAAGATTGAATCTCTGACCCAGGGGTGTTGGCTTGTAAAATGCACATAAAATGATATGATATCAATGAAAGTTTTGTATCCATGGATTATAGCCAAACTTAAACATGTACTCTGGTAGGAACCACTCTTGGATGTAGCACCATTGCAGTGGCTTCCCAATATTATCCGCCACTAGTTAATGCTATTAAATAGCCTCCTCAATCTAACAAATGTTTTAGTGGCACGTCAAAAGAACATCCCTTAATTTATTATTTGTGTAAATCTCTTCACTGGTTTGCTTCATGATTACGGTATACCTATTGTACAGCTGTTAAGACAATGATGATTCAGATCTGCAACCTTTTTCACGACACTGGGGAAATCTTTGCTCAACATACTACTTCACAATTTTGCATAAGGACTGGATCAAGCTATATAAAAAAAAAAATATTTAACTCTGAGCGAGAATGGTATTAGTACATGTACATCCCAAGAAATCTGAGCCCAGGACAATCAATAAGTACTTTTTGTGTGACAGAGGTTTTTAACCTCCAGATTCTAGAAAGATTCAGGACTTAGAATTTTTCCAGCCAAAAGTTTATCAGCGTTTGAAAGCCAATATCTCCTTCAACTTAAGTTAACTGCTAAAAGCTCAAATCACCAATTTGAATTACTACTTAAAATTGAAGCGCTCTTTGATGGTTTGGAGTCAATTTATATCTAGTTTAATGCCTTTTCTCAGCAAAGGCAAATGCTCATGGGGAGAAAATATAAACAATGGCATCAGTAAATACATTCCCTATAAATAAGTAATTCCAGTCTCATTTAGATCTCTCTTCCTTACACCCTCCATGGGAAGTGCAGTGACCATTTCAGATTTGCACCCTGGCCAGGGTCATTGCATCTCCTCCACAGGAATAGAACTGAGCGTACGTGTAGGGCTTGAAAAAAGTGCTGTCCAGTCATCCAGAACAAGTAGACTTCTCTTCTGGGCAAGTAGTTTTTCATTCTCCCTTGCCCAATGGACAAGGGATCAGGCAAGTTGTCTGCCAGCTAAATCATTGAAAGAGCAAACTAAGATTTGTCCAGGGCAAGCAAAATTTGAGAGCTACCTTTCACAAGGGCAAGCTGGAATTCAAGTTTTTTTCAAGCCCTGAATGTACAGTGAGAAACCTACATTATGTTGCTAGGTTAGTCATGATCTATTCCAGAGTGAGACACTTAGATAGTTTGGGATCAGTAAAAAGAATGGTATGTGTAAAATAAGGCAATGGATCTTCTTCCTTTATACTGCTCCCTAAATAGCCAAATGTCAGGAGAAAAACAGCTGTATCCCATGGAGAGGACCAACAGCACTAATCAATTAAGACAATAGTAAAAATAATCACCTCATCCAACCCAAAATTGCCATGTTACGAAAAAAATAAAATCTATGTCCATCTTGATGATGGCCTGAAGTCCGATGGAACAAACAACATGGCAGATACATCTTGAGTGCTCCAAAAAGCACAGAACACACCATCTGGGTTTCTCCAAGTATGCCAGCATCGCCATCTAGTGTTGATAAAATGTACTTGTTTGATATAATAGAACCAAAACTGAAGGCAAACCAAAGTGACATCATAACACTTTGCCGCACAAATGTCTCCTTTATCTCAAAGGTGAATGTTTTGTGTTGCCTTGGTGACAATGAATTCTGTGATGGTCCTTCGTGAGTCTTCTTTGCGACAATTGGAGCCATGTGGGAAGCCAGTGTGGATGAGATGAGAGTTGAGAAACCTGCCTTGCATCTAACAGACAAACATTCTTATGTATTTTAAATGCCTTGAAGATATTTCCAAAGTAGTAGTCTTGATTTGGTATAGATATGTTATAGCATTGTCCTTCTATCAGCAAAAAACTGTATATTGAATGACGGACATTTGCAACTCAGACTCCATAAGATGTATTTCTGTGCTGGAAAACTGCAAAAAGAAGGCATAATGATAACAATTTTTTTGGATTAAGAGGTCTGGTTTACCACTTCTGGCGTAAGCCAGACGGTTAACTCTTGTCTCTCCACCCAGGTGAAAAATGTATTACCACTTACATTATGAAGAAAACTTTCTGAATTTCTTGGTACTGTAAATGTTCTTTTGTTTCACTATTTGGCTAATTTGAAAAACAAAAGAATTGCCTATTTCAGGCAATATGATTACTTATTTAGACTTTTTAAGTACTACTGTGATGAAATCTTTCACCCTTGAGTTTTTAGGTCTATCACATACATGTACATTAGAATTCCACAAAAGGTTAAAAACCCAGTTTACCCTTTGGAAATATCTTCATTAGTTCTGGGGATATAAAGTTTGAAAAATGTGAAAAATATGTAAATGACAGGACTGATGATGTCATACACGAAACCCAATAATACATGAAGTATATAAATAGAGCTATCTTGGGCAGTTTGCGATTGCTGCAGAGACCATTGAAACTTAGTAGGCTAATAGATCTACAGGAAACACGCCTATAGCTGTAAAAGGTCATGAACTTAACCTAACATATATTTTAACATTTCTGATACAAATTGGTTGAGATATATCTTTCTTCATCATGTTTGATCAAAGTTTGGTTGAGTTTATGACGTTATCACTTGGTAATTTGCATATTTGTAAAGCTTGAACATCTTTGGAATGAAAAGAGATATTGAAAAATAGTAAAAAGCATTTTTCTTCTTGGACAGACTACTTGTTTACGTTTGAAATGGCTTAACACAAAATATATATTGTTTTCTGTCCAACTGATCCTAAAACGGTCGCTCCAGCGATCAATAGTATAAACTTTGCCGTATTTATTATTAATTAACCAGTTAATATCGAGCACTACGAATGTGGAACAATTGCATTGTCAATTTTGGTACACGTATGTAATTTTTCAAATATTAAAGTATCTCTTTATCCTTGACTAAGTACTTTAGGTACATGATCGCAATTACCATGTACATGTCACTTTTGCTTTTCAGAAATTAGCTAAGCTTACGCGATGCTTGGCACAATGTCCAACAGAACAATAATCACCATACTAGCACTATTTCTGGTTCTCATCATTATTATTTTTTTAAGCTTCCAAGATCAGTGTCAGCTCTTGTAGTGAATACAGAGCATGCAGAGTATAAAGCACATTGTTTAAATAAAAAGATATAAAGGAAAAACACCATGTATCCGCGCGCGCGGCTGCCTGCAGCTGCTAATACATTTATCGTGAATTTCCTTTCAAGTATTTCGCGAGGTATACAACTCTTTAAAACAACGGCGGACAAGGCAATTATCGGTATTTCGTTGCAGACAGTTTACTTACCGATGTCGTTATAGAGATCTCTGCATTATCTCGGAGGAGTTTAATATATAACTGAAGATGACCTGCAAATTCCGGATACTGGAGTCGATATTGGATTGACCTGAGCCGAGCCCGTAGTTTCAGCAGCAGCAACCTTCTACTTAGCCTAGTACGTCAAATACACTAAACAAGGTGTAGCAAAAAACATCCCAGTCTGCGCCTGCGCACTACAAACCATTGGAACGATGAAAACACGTTGCAGAGCAGAGAAGCTGCAGTACGAGAAGAGAAAGAACGGGCTTTCAGGAGAAGCCACTGGCTGTGTGACCTGGTATGGTTTACGTGGAAATGGAAAAAGTAATGTTTTTTTGAAATATTGGCCTCGTTAGCTGGAGTCAAGAAAGGTTTTTTTGACGCGAAAACATCTTTGGCGTGTTCGAAGTTTATCTCGAGATCGGAGTGGAGTTCGCCAGAAGGCGAGGCCACTATTTGTAACTGACACCCTCTCGTATTCCAAACAAGTTCGGAGCATTGAAGACACTTTGAACAGACTTTGACGTAAGGTCATCGCTCAACAAGAGGAGACTTCTTTCGCTGACAAAGAGAGATTTCTGTGTTCGAATTGTGCAAAGGCGTGGACTTTGAAATCTTTGAGTCCACATCTGATGCGAGTGTGAAGTGGATATAAGCTTACTTGCTTATTAATATTTCATAAACAAACATCTTTATCGCCAGCGCATCACAGATGGCCTCGAAATCAAAAGAACAGCAAAGTCCTGTGAAGCGGAGATTTTCAAGCCCCCTGGGAAATCAGAAATATGTTACTAAAGGTATTCCTCCTCGCTTCAAAGCGAGTTTGAAAGATTTTCGCTCTTTTGGTCCCGTGAAGCAGAGCAAGCAAAGAGGAGATCTGGGACCTAACCATGGAAGACCGTGGAGGAAGCCTCAGAAAGGTGCAGCTGTCAGGTTTCATTTTGGAGGGAACAGTGCAGACCCACTGAACTTGAACAGTTTAATAGATCGTGATCCCGCCATTGTGACTCCACAGGCTTCACCATTGTCTGTACACAGTGAATCCCCAGTTGAAGTGTTGGAACCACGTGATAAAACTGACCCTCTTAATCTGAAAGGCTTTCTTCCAGAGCCTGAAAACAATACAACTCATGTCACACCAAAGAAACGCAAGAAGAAGAAGCGACCTCAGAATACTCAGCATGACACAGAAAATGAAATAGGACCAAAAGAGCAATCAAGTGTATTGAGTCAACAACATGGGACACTTTCTGAGGGCAAAAGGAAGAGAAAAAAGAACCCTGTAAAAGCAGAGGAATTGTCTCATGGCAAAAAAGTTACTGAAGCGAGCATATGCGATACTGATCAGTGTGCTGCAAAGTCAGCAAAAACCAATGATAAGTCAATAAGTGTAGAAGAACTTGAACCATCACCCAAGAAGAAGGCTTCTATCTCTTTAAAGACTTCAGTGGAGGTAGATAACATAAATCATGCTATCACTAAAATAGAAGACTCTTCTTCAGCTGTTAAACTTGTAAAGACCTCGGAGAAACATCGAGAAATCGGAAAATGTCATGGATCGCACAAGAGCAAGGATCCTAAGAGAGAGAAACAAAACTCATCCGGGAAACATAAGAGAAAGGAGAAACTCTTTATCTACGGCAACTACAATAGATACTATGGTTACAGAAACCCACAGTGCAGTCAAGATTTAAGACTAAAATGCTTCAATAAGGAGTGGTTCCAAGGAAAGGCTGTTTTAGACTTAGGTTGTAATGTGGGTCATGTAACGCTGTCAATTGCACGAGACTTTAATCCACAAGCCATCACTGGAATAGACATTGATCCCAGCCTAATAAAGGCAGCAAAGAACAATTTGCGGTATTATGTGCAAAGTCAAGTTTCAGTGTCGGGAACTTCGAGAAGAGGAATAGATTTTCCAATGTCATTTTCTGTTACAAGTGGACCACTGGCTGCTCCTGTTGTTCTAGGCAGTGAAGAAAAAACTGCCTTTCCGCATAATGTTGTTTTCAAACAGGTAATAAATGTTAATTATTTTATTTAGTGATTTGATTAAGAGCTTGAGATTTCTGTTGGCATAGAAATCGAGAGCGAATTATCCAATTGTTTTAATATACAAATCTACCAGTTGTTTAAAACTTAAACAACAATCTTCTTCGCAGATGCTTTGAAAATGCAAGGAAGTAGCTACATTTTAACAACTACACATTTCTAGGTTACTTAATATCAGAATAGAAACTGATAGTGAGTAGCATAGCCAATCAGAGAACAGAACACTGGCAGATTTGCACTAAACAGGAGTAGAGATGGCATACAGTAGTTGGTTATAAATAACGAAAATGCACATGTTGTACTTCTTACAGTTAACATCACTCTACTGTTACCACGTGGTAAGATAACTTTAAAAGACTTCCTAATGGCCTCTGCATGAACTAGCAAATCACATTGTCGTAACCAGGAAGCAGAGATGACAATTGTCAGAATACAAATACAGAGCTGACAACTCCACCTGTCATACATGTACATTTCGGTATAACTCATTTGAAAGTAAAGCCATCAGAAAGTTGGCAAAAAGTTGTCAAAGGTCGATCAAAACTATCTCACATGGCAGTGGTACAGTGTTCTTCACCAATAATGCAAATGAAACATTATATTACAAAAAAAATAATAATAATAATTAGGTAAGTGCTGATGTACTCCGCAGGTTTGATAATAATATCATTATTATTTTTACTGGGGATCATAGGTGAAGTCTGTTGTTGTCGGTCACCTAGCTTGGAGGGTTTTTCTCCAGGCTTTCTTCCTTCCCTAACATACAACAGTTCAGTTAAGTTCCACTTAGAACTGTGATAAGAGGAACTGCCAGTAAAATACAGCATATTTTAATATATTTGTATTACCACCATAAATCCAGAGAAAAGCATTTCCTCCAGTATTTACAAGGGTTCTTTGTTCAACTTATTGAAGCCTTATGTGGGATTTTTCTGAATAATCTGAAGATTTAAGTGATGGCAAAATAATTTTTTTTGTAACTCCTTTATTTTGTAACTTCTTGGTTGTTATATCTCTCCAGGAAAACTATGTTCCAAGCAGCAGTGATGGACTTTCCAAGCAAAGGCCTATATATGACATGATTTTGTGTTTGAGTCTCACAAAGTGGATCCATCTAAACTGGGGAGATGAAGGGCTTAAACTGATGTTCAAACGAATTTTCATGAATCTGCATCCTGGTGGAAGACTTATCCTTGAACCACAGCCATTCTCATCGTACAAAAAGAAGAGAAATTTGACGGTAAGTGTTTACCATAAGAACTTAATTAGACACTTGCAAAACTCAAATGATCTTTTTCTAAGTGGTAAATTTTTCTTCATTTTGTCAGTTCTGAGAATGTCATCTCCTGCTTGTTTGATTACAATTACCTGAGGGGGCTGGCTAATAAGTTGTGGTTTTTCAACACTCAATGAAAATACAGCTTTATTGTTTGAATCTTCACCTGTGCTGTTCTTCCCCTGGATCAGATCACTTGTACAATAACAGATGCATTGTATCAAACACTGTTGCTATGTTATGTGTGAATTTATTATAACTATTTCTGAACATTATTTTCCCAGGAGAAGATCCGTTCAAATTACGATGCCATTAGGTTTCGCCCTGAGCACTTTGTTGACTACCTTCTGTCTGAAGCAGTGGGATTTGCCACTTTTGAAGTTCTGGAGGTTCCACAACACAAAGCATCTGGTGAGAAAAAAATTCATGAAGTCCTAGGTTGTTTTTAACCATTTACCCAAAAACTCTAGAAATTTTGGTCAGAATGTAAAATAATTAATGGTGAGATAATTTTGCCTCAACCAACCAGAAAATTTTATTGGAATGCCATGAAAGGTAGTCCAAAATTTCCAACCTAAATATTTGAAGGCAAAGTGTGCTTACCATTTGCAATTCTTCACCAGTTCCAGCTGTCATCTTGGAATTACGATCAGTGCAAACTCATCCCAGGCTTTCTTGGCACTTTGGGGGTTGTTAAGTAAATGGTAAATGGCCAATCCAGATGGATCTTACAACCAAGGATTTTTGCTTACCATTTGTACAAACTATTGACAAAGTGGTTTCTCTATGCAAATGGTAAACAATCCTAGTCTCTTAAAATAAATTCCTAATTGCCTTCGATCAGTACCAAATTACAAATTTCCACTTCAGAGCCAGTGCCCATAACTATGGGCCAAACAACGGCACAAGTTGAAAAATCGATTTTGCTCATTTTTGCCCATAGACTGGCCCTAGCTAGTAAACAANGAAAATTCAGCAAAACCGGAAGTAGATTTTGAGCCCAATCGGGTCGAAATCGTTTTTGGCATATTTCTACCAAAGAAAGCTGTATTAGCAGAAACGAACTATGGTCCATTTCTATTCTTTCTAGGACCTATCTATGGACAAAATACAAGAGAAATCAATCTTTTGACTTGTGCCATTGATAGGCGATTTAGGTCCATTTTTATAGGCATTCACTCTTAACAAAAATAAAGTAATATTCTCCATTCCGCATTCTCCTGAATGCTCAGATACTTGATGGCTTACTCTTATATTTCATCTCTCATCCTTGTGCCCTGTTGATCAAATCAGATTCAAGATAACACAGGATTTAATTGTCAACAATCAAATTTATTTTTTTACCTTATATCCATGTGTGACAATCTTGAATCAGGGCATTGTCAAACTGTAATGCAGAATTAGAAATAAAAAACAACAAAGTATCAAAGTTTCAATCAGGGTATTTCATAGAATGTGACAACAGGCAAATTTCCATCTTCTATGGAAACAAAAGTAGTTGCCTGTTCTTACTTGAAGAAAAGCGTAGACATCTTTTGCAGTACAAGACTCATGCAGTCACATGGTAAATATCTTAAACCAACTGATTTGTAAACTACAGTACTTGCATGTAAAATTCCAATCAAAACCATTTCTCTTTGATTTGCCCTTCAGTCTTCTTACTATGAGCTATTTCAAACTCCTGCTATTCAAACTGTTTTTCATTTCCCCTGAGAGTTGGAAATAGTGGGATTAAACTGTAGTTAATGAGGCCTTGGTGCCACTTCAGCATAGCAGGATTGAGTGAGTGAGTTGAACTGTAGTTAAAACTCTGATTAACTTTGACTTGGATTAGCATTATTTGGCTTTTGAAAAACCAAGCCCACTGCATATAAAAGTTTACTCAGGCTGATTGCTTGCTAGGAGTAGTGTACTTGTACATGTATCAATAAGGCGAGAGTGATGGGCAACAGTTTAGAGACGCCATTTAATATTAATATGGATGTTCAATTTGTCTTAATAGCACAGCAATAAAAGATGTGTTTTTTCCTCTTATTGCAGGTTTTCAGCGGCCTCTGTACCTTCTCACTAAGGCTTCAAATGACTAAGAGAAATCATCAGATGAAATAAACTAGGACTCGAATGTAATGTGCAACATTTGCAATGGTTTGCTCACACACAGCTGCAGCAGAGTGTCAAGAATTTGTTAGCAACTAGTTAACACCACCTACACTAAGTTCTGAGCTGCAACTTAAACTTGACAACATATTGCAATCTCCATACAGTGTTGAAAGAGTAGAGATGAACTCTCTCATAATTTGGCACATCCCTGCCAGAAAACGCACTCTAAACACATGGTCCCAGCCACATAGCAACACTATGTTTCTAACCTACCACGTGTTTTAGCAGAATCTCAAAATATAACTACATGACCTAGGCCCTCTGAACTGAAACTCTTAAAACCACAAGTGACAACATCTGTTTTTAATGTCAATAGGACAAAGAAGGTACTGGTGTCATTTTAAAGGCTTAATGCAATGTACCTCCTTAGATTTTGACTTGATTGTTTAAATTGTAATCAGCTGTTATCTCTGTCTTCTTTTTGCTGCGAGATCTTCAATACAATAATACTGTGAAACCTCTATTAAGCAGACACACACAGAACCTTCACTAAGGTTACACAGTGTAATAAACTTCTGCACTAGCTGTTACCTAGCTATCCTGAATTCAATTCTTGAACAACTTTGATTTTGTTTGTAATCTGTCTTCTCCATACTGTGTGGGCTTGTCAATTTTCAGTTGACTCTTTCATCAATCATGGCTTTACAGTTAATTCAATACTGCACACTGTAAATTTGGGCTGGTATGTGTTTATAGAGGTTTTAACAGTTCTACATCCCCTCAATAGTAGCCTGCAAACACAGATGGATTTCCGGCTTTTGTAAGCCAGAAAATTACGTCTGTGTTCGCAAGCTGCCTTGACAGAGGTGTCCACTGAATTTAGGTTCAGTTGTTAAGGGAAATGTAAGATGCTAATTTTGTTTCAGATTTAATGAAGAGTGTCTGCTTAATTGGAGGTTCACTTGCTGCAATAGAGGTACAATGGTTGTTTCATTCATTGTATGCTTGATAGTAACTCAGAATAGTTTTCTGCTATTTTTCTGACTGTTGACTGTTGACAGCTGACGGGGGTTAAAGGGTTAAAAAAGGAAAGCAGCATTTTAAAAAACCTTTCAATTTACATTTGGTCCTGGTTCATGTAATTGGTTTACCTATATTAATATGGGTAGATTTCAATGAAACAGGTTTACCGTTGTAACTTCTAGTAACCATATGGTAATATGGTTCTCTGAAATAAATGTTTTAGTCTGACAATGTGTTCATTGTTTTCAATTCATGTAGAGTAAAGTTAAAAGTAGGCTTCTTAGAATTGTGGAGGCATAGTGGCCTCGTGATTAGTGCGCTTAGCTCCAGATTGAGTGGTCGATTTATCGTGTTCAAACAAAGTTATTCATTCATTTATTCATTCAGTCTGGGTTCATGCCCTGGCTGGGGTCACTTTGTTGTGTTCGTGGGCCAGACACTTCACAGTGCCTCTCTCCACCCAGGTGTATAAATGGGTACCAATGAATTTAATGCAGGGGTAACCATACAATGGACTAACATCCAGGGTGGAATAGAAATAGTACTTCACACTACAGAAACTGGGATAAGCTCAGGCCTGATGAGCCACTTGGCTCGTATGCAGACTTGACCTCTTTACCTCTTACTCACCTCTCCCTGCTCAGGAAGGTCCCATGTTAGTCAGCCTGAAGTGTGTGCAAGGTGTTTTTAGTGGGTGCTAGTGAGCAACTGATTGTAAAGCTGGCATTTTGAATTTGCAAAACGTAAAGGGGCAGCCTTTTTTCCAAGGCAGTCCAATCTTTTTGACTTGTGAAAGTTTAATTTTACAGGAGATAGGGCCATAGCTTGTAACAGTGAACTGTAACACTTACTTCTGAGCACTGGAAAATTTCTTTTGAATTTTTTTGTTTTCAAGATCCTAATTAAGAACATGTTAAAAATGTGTACATATGAAATTTTTTCCTCATTTTGCCTTGGAAATTTTCATCTTGTTAAGTCCCTGGGAGATGGTGGAACAATTCATCCATATCAGATTGCTGTCAGGGTTATAGGGTGAGGGGAATAAGCCTCAATTATGTGATAGCAGAGCTCCGGGCTGCCAAGCAGCACACTATAACTATAGGAATAAGATCAGATGCATACACAGAAACAGAAAACCATGCAACTTTTTTTTTCATAGTCAACATGACTAGCTGCATGGATGGTGGGTGTGTGCGCCCAGCGATGACATCACACAACATGGCAGCCATACCCCAGCTAATATCAAGCCAAGCAGCATTGGTTTACAGCATACGTCTTTCATGTTGGACATCCATGTTATTAGCAATATTTGACACCTGTCAAAATGAGGTATTCGCTGACCAGTATCACTTGATCATATTGCAGGCTCAAGTTAAGACCTCATCGACGTCATGTGTTTTTAAGTTGACTGCTGACCAAATACTGGATTTCTGATGGATTGCAGGCTCAAGTAAGGTCAGGCCTGGGTTTTTGGAAGCCGGTTAATGCTAACCCAGGATTAAACGTTAACTGAAGTATGAATTATTCTTGGAAAAAAATGTCTTTCACTGCTTATGTTTTGTGCAGTGTTACATCATTCAAACTCAAAAGAGAGAGCCAAACAATATAAACAGAAAA